GGCGGAGGTCCGTTTTCCCATACTTTCTTTTCAAGGTCAAACACTTTCATCACTCCTTCGCCTGTCATGAACAATTTTCTGTCGACTGCCGAGAAAGTCTCGTAAAACAGTGTTGCATCTGGACAAGGATATGGAGTAAGGACCTGGACCGACCAATCCCGAACATCCACGGACAACACTTTCGCTTCTTCTTCATTTCTTCCCAAGCACCAGAAAGTGTGATAAAATGTGTATAAGTTAGTACCTCTGGCCTTCGCCTTTTTGCCGGGGATTGAATCCTTAGTGCGATGGACGTGGAAGTCCTTTGCTTCTTTGACGAGGGCTAGGCTATGGGGACTTCCCAAAATCACTGGATCATTGGTCTGATCCTGCAGATAATTAAACGGCAGCAGTGAAAGCCTTACATGGTTCAAAAGTTGTGGCACGTGTGTTTTTCGTGAAGAGTCGTGATTCACCCATTTTCTTACAGCTTCGTAAGTATCGACTTCAGAAGAGACTTCCAGGTCATCTCTTTCTAGAAATATCTGTAATGTCTCAAGTGATAAAGAAAGGAAATCCCTGGTAGGAATAATTTCTTGGAACCTGTGAGCAATGAATTCCACTGCTGAATCCTGCAATGCTCTCACATTCACCTTTTCGGCAAACGAGAGGAACTTTAGGGCATTACCAGCTCTCAGCATCTTCTTTAATTTCCCAGCGAATTCCTCGTAGAGGGGGTGAATTTTCAGATGATACGAGTCCTTCAACACAGCCAGGGCGACGTCTTCGTTTTCCGTCCCATATCGATCCTCGTAGATGAAGTCCCAGATGACCTGGAAGCCTTCCACGGAGACCCCCTTCAAGGGAACTACCTTCGTCCGAGACTCATCCATGTCTGTTAGGAAAATGCGCTTGAGGACGGGCGATGCTGAACCCAGGACGAATCGACTACCATGGAACGAGACGCCCTGGACCTGGATGATGACGTCACAAAGGTTATTCTTCTCCCTCGAGTTTTGAGCCATCCCTTTTACAAGGAAACTATAATGCTCCTTGGTTTTTGCGCGTTTTCCATCGCACTCAATTTCCATATTGGTCGAATGGTGGTATACCACAACACAGCTACAGTAACTTGTGTAACGGCACTGCAGGGGAAGTTCACGAAAGCAACCGATATGGGTGATGCACCTCGTAAGCAGTTGTTTAACTTGAAGGAAGAATGGTAGAACTGGGTCCTGGTTTCGTCAGTCATTCAGTCTTTGTAAATAGGTGCACGTGAGCAACCCATCGATATCAGCTTGCAAATAAGAAGCGCCTCATTCAGATAGCTTATCTAGAGGGCCTTGCTCTACAGGGTGGGACAAAAAATTCCGCCCCAATTTTTAATTGCACATAACTCAAAAACTATTGAAGCCACAGGCTCGAATAAAACAGCAAATTAAAGCTTGTTCCTTCCTCTTTAAAATAGTCTATAGGTTCATTGTAATACGTGCCATGGCATGGCCGCCATGGCCATTTGAATCAACCATGACCGAAAAAAAGTTGCAAGGTGTTGCTCCTGCAACAGGCGCCTTTGTTTCTGTCCTGCTGTGAAGAGGGGAAGACACAGTTCAATGGCTGGCTACTTTTTCACCCTCCCCAGTCATCTCTTCCTAAGGCCACATCATTTTAATGCTGAAACGTGCATGAACAGCCGACCAGCACTCCAAGCTTTCAGCAGAGAAGCATTCTCAATTCGCATTGCGATCCTGCAGCAGCAACGATGTTTGCTCTCTCTTACACGAGAAATTGCCGTGTGCATGCTTCATCTCAGCGTCAGTTTTCACTTTTTAATTTTTTTTAATTTTCTTCCGCAGGGCCAAAAATGACAAGTGTCCACAGCGGGCTATCAGAAAGTGGTAAGCATCTCATCTGTGCACTTCGTAAGGAAAAGAAACATTCCTTGAACCAAATTCTAAAGGAATTTCCTGATCGACAGTGGAAGAAATCGACTGTTCGAGACTTCCTTAGAAAGCTCCAAGAAACAGGAAGCATTGAGCGTCGCCATGGAACAGTTCGTCCGAGAACTGTTCGAACAGCAGAAAACATCGAAAGCGTCGAAAAACTGAAAAACTGAGTCAAAGAAGGAAAGCCTGGAACAAGCAAAAGTGTGCGCGAAGTGTCAAAGCAGACTGGGACTGGGCGTTCGTCTGTTCGGCGGATAGTGAAGGATGACCTGAAACTGAAGGTTATAAAGCGGGTTTCTGTCCATGCGCTCTCATCGCCAGTGAAGCAGAAACGCCATGAACGATGCAACAAACTATTGAGCCGGTTTCGTAGCAACAAAGCTGTGCAGAAAATCTGGTTTTCCGACGAGAAGAGTTTCACTGTTGAAACTCCAAGGAACACGCAGAATGACCGAGTTCGTGCTACAGGGAGAAAAAAGGACGTTGATCCAGCCCGACTTCTGTGTGAACGGAAGCACTTTTCCCAGTCGGTCTTGGTTTCACTTGCGGCCTCTTCGTCAGGGAAAACATCGATCATCTTCATTGCTCGCGGGGTTAAAATCAATGGCAAGAGCTACTGCGATGAGGTTTTGAGTCCCATGTTGGCTGAAATCAAGGAGATGTGCCCAACATTTGTCTTCCAGCAAGATTGAGCTCCAGCGCACTCTGCCAAGTAGACCACACTCTTAGAAAATTCCGAGCGTTTGGGGAGTAAGAAATGAGCACACCGTGAGCTTTTCGAATTTACTCTCTTATTACTCAACAAATGCTCCCTCATCGCTCGTATCGAAGTGAACACCTTGAAGTTCTTCGCCAGGCCCCTAGATGGCGGTAAGGGTCTCGCTATTCGCACAGTACGCAAAAGTTCCCTTTTCTCTTTCCCTGGAATCGTCCCTTGCAGGATTGTTTAGTACCTTGCCATATGTCTCGCCTAGTCTCATTATAGGAATCAATAAACACGGAGACTTCATCATTTGTTATCCACATATTCAAGCCATATTCATGGAGTCCAGGCCATAAACAAGCTCATATTCCTACTGAGAACCCTTTTGGAACTCGTCTGATTTTATCCGTATAGGAGACCCAGAATATACAGAGTGTTCGGGAACTTCATTCAATCAGACCTCAATGAAATGAGGTAATGAAGGACTGATATCCCGAATACTCCACAGAACCTATAAGAGGTGATCCAACCTCTGACATGTACTGTAATCAGTACAGTCAGAGGGAAGTCAGCGCCTATGCGAGAACGAAAGCGGCACACATTATATGTGAGAATTTACTGATTTGCATGACATCCCTATCACTTTCTGAGGGGAGCGTTTTTACTCACAGAGGAGGAGAGCAATTTTACTTTTTGGTGATGGAGTAGATTTGCTCCTTTCCCAGAGTGAAAGGGGGGTGAAACTGGAGTTAGCTATTTTACTCTCTTTTTTGAGAAAAATCGCTCCCCTTTTTCTAAGAGTGCATGGCCTTTCTCAAGAGGAACTGCCCTGTCTTCATTGAGCCTGAGAACTGGCCACCATGCAGCCCAGATTTGAACCCGGTCGATTACTTTATCTGGTCTGCTTTGGAACAGACAGTTTATCGAGGTGAAAAAATTCGCGACGTTGAACACCTGAAAGAGAGGATTTTTGCAGCCTGGGAGGAGCTTCCCCAGGCTTGGATTTCAAAAGCCATATCCAAATGGCGCAAGCGATTCAGTGCCGTAGTGGGTGAAAATGAACACTGAACACTTTATCGAAAAGTAAAATTTGAGGTCAGTTCCTACTGCAGAAAAATGCTTTTTTGTTTTTTTTCCTCAATTTACAACTTTTTTTCAGTCATGGTTGATTCAAATGGCCATGGCGGCCATGCCATGGCACGTATTACAATGAACCTATAGACTATTTTAAAGATGAAGGAACAAGCTTTAATTTGCTGCTTTTTTCGAGCCTGTGGCTTCAATAGTTTTTCAGTTATGTGTAATTAAAAATTGGGGCGGAATTTTTTGGCCCACCCTGTATATTGTCTCCACACTTGCTCTTTGCTGTCTCTTCGAACACGAAGGGGGGCGTCCGTTAGAAGCTGAGTCATCACTTCATCATCGCAGTCATCTTTCTTGGATGATGCCGGTGATGATGAGGCACTCGTGCCACATCAGGATGGAGTTGCGACGCGGCAAACGGCCTGTAGGTCGCCGTTTTTGAGGGTCTATGCACCTCGATAATCGACTTTGTTTTCTGATACCAACACACGCACAACGCCCGTTCTTGAACAGAGTACGACGGAGCTAAGATAGCAGAGACCATAAGAAAAGGATTTATGACGAGAAAATCGGGAATTTTAGGCCAACAAATCGGTAAACGGTATCACTACATCGCCCCGAGTCGCAAGCCACGATTCACGAATAACGTGAATCATGTCGAATTCACGAGAAATGGACCATACTTTCTCATGCACTTTGATATACAGTATGTCGTCTGGGCGGAACAGGACAATGATAGACACTATTTTGGAGCCATTTGATGACGTGCTTGGGTGCTCACGTCGATTACAAACGAAATGCTCTGATGATGAATCGCCGCTGTTAAACTGACGGTAAATAAGATAAGTGGAAGAGAGTGAGACAGGACTAGTCAGTGGTTCTCTCCCTCCTAATTCGGTGTGAAGTGAAAACTCAGTTGATGTCATGCGCATGTAAGTTTCTTTTCTTTTTCTAACTCTTTTTCCCCTCCTCTCTCTTCGCTCTAATTATCTTTACTTTCATGGCTTCCCCTGGGGAATCCAAGAATGTGGGGACTTGGTTCAAGCTGCAAGGGAAAAGAAAAGTCAGATGTCCTGTAAACAGGCATGCGTCCAGGACTTCTGAATTGCATTCCATGGACTAAAATGTCCTTGACTCTTCCCTGACAGTAAACTTATTTTTCGTCTATCGAAGACGAAATGCTTCCATTCCTGCAATCGCAGCGTATTTCTAAGTTTTCCTTTTACGAAATTCTGATCAAGAAATTTCACTTGTGAAATATTCCACTCATATAAAAAATTATCCCTGGAATGCGAAGTAACTGCGAAGGTTTTCATTTGCAAGGCTCATTTATGGCTGACAAAGAAGGGGAATGGCGTAGCGTCTTTCAGCTGTCATTGTTAGGACTTTTTTAAATCGTAGAATGGAGTTATTTCATACCATAACCTTGAATTCTGACTTCTATTCTTCCAGCTGTGTTTTATCCCAATGCCGAAATGTGTCACTAGGAATCGAGGATTCTATGTCTGGTTGTGACCAATCCTATCTCTCAGCTACAAGGTATGCACTATTGCATTCTCTGTCCAATATCTGCAGTGAGTCATTTATTAGATGCCACTTTTTATATCCCATATCTTTAAAAGGAGGAAATAGATGTCCATAAGATTTTAACATCGTTCTTGCAGCAGTGCTTTACCGTTTCAATTGAACTAATTCTTATTTTCTGCTCTTAGAAATAAGTATCTTACAAATAGTTACACGGTGTTGGACTATTATATTCATCGGACTATTATAATTACTGTAATTTGCCATTGAGTGTTGCATTGTAAAGAAAATTCTGTCCCCTAAACAATATTTTATGCAAGGGATTTAACCATGTTCACTGTGAGATTCCTTGCAAGTCAAATACAAGTCTGGATGAAAGAATTCCAGTGGATTTGGAACAAGGGTGTTGGTCTTCTAGGAGGGAAGATATAACAAAAAAAAATGTGTGCGACCATTTTTGCTGCAATTCAGTAAACAGACCTGGAACCTGTGGGTTCAACAATGCGCATCAACAATGACGCAAGGTGAATGTAGACGAGGATAGCGATGGTCCTATGTCAGACTAATATTAGGAGGCTGGGTCTAAAAGTTTGTGGGTTCATGAAATAAAATTAAAAATCGCCAGTATATGGTCCTTCCAGGAACTAGCAAGCATTGAACCACAGAGAATTGTCAACTTGAAAATCATCCCCAACATTATAAACACATATCCTGCACCGTCTATATAAAGGGTGAGGCAAAAGTCAGGTTACCGAAAGTGCATGATTGTAATATATTATTAAAGGTAATAAATAAACCCATGTTTGTTTTCCACCATTCCTGCAGAAGAAACACACGTTTCTCCATTGTTAGTTTCATACATTGCTCCATTTCCAATTTTCAATTTTAATTTCAATTTTCGAATTTCAATCTGGAATGAACAAAAATAAAAAGTGAGAATTGAGAAAGAAACATGTGCTTATGGTAAATTGACTTTTGCCCCACCCTATTACAGGTTGACAGTTTTATTTGACCACTTTCAAAATGCGTTTACTCGAATAGGAAAAGGATAAGTAGTTTTCGTATGACACGTAATTGTTGGGCAAGAAGTCAACTTTCGTCATGGAATATAGGGACCTTTGCATTGGTGTTTAATGATGCATGTTGACTATGTCGCGGAGATATGGGTGATTCCTCTTTCCATGAAATGATACTCACACAAAATGACAATTCCTACGTGTTTCTTGAAAGGATGCCGCGTTTCCAAAAGGAGAAGTCCTAAATATCATCATTAACAATGGAAAAAAAGCGAGAAACGAAGGGCGTGAATTTAGGGCGTCCGGTATGAAACAAAAAGCTTCTGTCAAAAGTTACTCGTTTCGCGGACTTCGTAAATCCACCCAGCAAGAAATTACTTCCATGTCGGCCAACAGTGGCCAAGAGAAATATCAAAAGGGTTATTCAGGAAGATCTCAAAATGTAAGGAAAACACGAGATCAAAGTTCTTTTCATCAGAACAAAACACATCAGGAAAAGGAATATGAATATCTGAAGTTATGCAAGCGCATCTTTTACCAGCCACATAATTATGGCTGGTGAAAGGTAAACGTATATTATGACGCTTGATTAAACTTGGATGTAACTTTCTGTCGGCGGAAAGACCCAGTCTATTTACTGCCAAAACAGGGTTTTAGTCATCCAAAAGAGGGTTTGAATTTTTTTGCGTTTGGATTCTTGAAGCGGCGCCGATTCACAATCGGCGCCGCAAAAAGAAAGGGAATCGAAGTCATTACTACGATAATTTCTACTTTCCTAACGCCTAACCTAAATAAATAATTTATGTGCCCCTTTTTTGTCTGACTGGAATAATTTTTTTCAAATTTATATTTTCAGGTGATCCTCAGGCATACCTGCCATTCAGGCAACCCGCATACCCGAAAGAGCACGTAGGGGCGAATGAAGGAATGGAGAACAGGACAAGGAGAGGCGAATGTAAGTCATTGTCTCTCGTTTCACCTTCGTACAGTCTAGACAGAGAAACCAAGAGATTATGATGCCAAATCATACCCTGAGGGTAAGTAAAAATTCAGATGGAAGAGACCAAAAAGCGAAATACTTTCATTCATGAATAAAATTCCTAGCCAACGCCTTATTGACATATTGAAAAGAATGCTCGAATGCATGCCTGCATGAGGCATCCGTATTCACGTTGCGAATTGACTCTTCATAGATGTTTTTCATTTGGCATCGATATCTCGATGCTTCCATGCTGTGGCTGCCAATTGAAGGATATCCACTGGGGCCTGCAACCGCATCCATTTCTTCACTTCTGCTTTGAAAGGCGAGAAAGTGAATTCTATGGGAATGAACCAAGGACTGTAGGGAGGAGGGGGTAGGAAATGAATGGAGTGAATTGGGTATAGAGGTATAACCCTTTTGTGCCCTTGTGCATTGTCTAAGACCAAAATCAGTTCATTGTCCGTTCTGACGATGCTACTAAGTTCACCTAAATATTTAGCAAACGCAACACGTATGAGGCTTGACTATATTGTCTGGTGGTGCAAAAGTACATCAGAAGGGACAACCCTTAACCCGACGAACTGACAAAACGAGATTGCCATTCAGTCTAGCATTAATGAACAAGTTCCTCTTCACATCTCCCTCTCGCAGCTGTATCATCAAGAATATGCCACGAATGGAATCGAACGGGCACTAGCTCACATACGCCAGACAAAAGAGGAAACGGAAACTCCTAGACATAAAAAAGTCAACAGTCGGAGCTGTTCTGCTCTCCCTCAGCTCATCGGCTGGCCCGTTTGTTCTCCCTATCTTCATCATCCCTGGCATAACAAATCCTTTGGGGGGTACGCGTTGACGTCATTGTAGAAAGGCCTGAGAATCATCTGAGAAAGATATTCTTCAAACCCATAATAGGCCCAGGGGGATATATTTCAAAAGTAGGATTTTTCCGTTAATCAGCTATCCATCAGGTACATCTGCGCCTAGTTTCAACTTTCTATCGTTCTGTTTCGTTGGATCAAAAAAGATTTGGGAAAATTCGCCTCTTGTGGAAAAGGTTCCCTGAGGCGTTTCGGCAAAAATTGTTTTATTATTATATTTTTTTATTACTGAAATCAGTACTCGGAAAACTACTTACCCACAGAGTTTCAACATCATCCTGTGCCTTTTCCCTGGTTAAAAAATATGCTTGGAAAAGCCGACCCACCCAAAAGCTATGACCTTAGGGATGCACCACAAAAGGTGAATTTTCCCTGAACTCAACATCACATCAGTTATGCGTGTGCCGAGTTTCACCTTTCTATTTCTGTACAATATGCAAGGACAAGAAAAAATTACTTGAAAACATCACTCCCAAAAAATTTGCCCCCAAGGCATGAATCTGAAACTTGACATTTTTCCTGAACTCGGTGTCTTAGTTCGTGCAAAGTTTCACCTTCGGCAATCTTCCGATTCCAAGACGACAATGAGGATAACGGAGCAATTCGAGAATTGGAATAAGATCAGGAAAAATAAGATGAAACTGAGAGATCACTACCAGGTGCATGGAAAGACCCTCTTTGATGCCTTGGATTCAGAGGGGCTGTTTACGAACATCGAATGCACTGCAATCCATGCAAAAGAAGATCCAGAAGCTGAATTTGATGAGATCTTTGAAACCCTATTCAAGAAGAATCCCAAGGAATATATACCTCGCTTCCTCAATGCACTGAAGAAAATACACGAACCTGCTACAGTCTACTTGAAAGGTATTCCGAGTTTTCATGATATTTTCTTCCTATGAAAAAGTTTGACGCAATGCATGGAAATGTAAGAGGTGTTGTCCTTTATCCTCTTCGACTAATTTCAGGTGTATTAAATCCGTCTCATCTCTCACGTCGTCGACCACATCCGAGAAGGTATGAAACTTATCCTGAGATAATGAAGATATCAACCTAATATAAACCGGATGAATTAATTCCTCACTAAAACTACAGCTTGGTGCTGGATGAATCAGTCGATGGAAGGAGTCTCTAATAATAAGTAATTTCTTAATCCATTACCTAGAGAAATAAAGCTTCTGGATATTGTAGTGCGGTACTGTTCCTCGTAGTGGCACCACAGGGACATGAAGCATGATGCAATTTCATGATGAGCAGCGGGAGACTGCGTGTACGAGTAAAGATGAAAAATCCTAAAATAAAAAATGAAATTGATTCTATATAGATTTTGTGGTTTCAATGTTTTTTTTTCATCTAGAAGCCATCCAAAGCAACTTTTCATCGTGAAGTTCGAGAGTTTCGGTGGCAATTGTTGCACGCTTCATATCTTGTGCTCCAAGATGCTCACTTTAAACACCAGTTCTATTGTCAACGTTGGAGCAACTCTGTACATATTTATTATCGTTCTTCTCTGCAAAGGGGAGTTCTGTTTTGCAGCTCTGTCTATTTCCTTGTCATGTGAGTGTTGAATGCACCGGAAGCAGAAGATCGGGTGATCGCGGATATGGCCTCTGTGATTGGCCATTTACAGTCAGGTGGTCTGATTTGCAAGCAGCCAACCTAATTAGTTGCCACATAATGTGGAGTGTGTGTTTCAACGAGGCTGCAACCTTTCAATGCCCATGACACTGACTTGCTCAAGACGTCCTCAGGAATAGCTAACAGCCAGGAAATAGAAGGTAGTGTCAGAACATCAGGTATGAGCAGTTGCAACGCGATGAATGTGTGACTGAGTCAGTTTAGAGAATCAAAATATAAAATGGTTCTTTGGAATCTCACGTTTTTGCTGCATCTTAGCATTAAACGTTGAGGAACTTTTACCTGTCATTTCCACTTCTGAAATCTGCAGTGAATAGATCATTATATTGAGTTTTGAAAAATTCATGTACTGTTTCATGCAAAGAAATACGTTATCTGCTTTTGAATTTTCAATTCCTTTTTATCAATTTTCTCTTCCACAAGCATGGTAAAAAGAAGTTGCAGAAATTGGCAAAGGCTACTAAATTACAAGCGTTTTATACGTTTGTGGTAAAAAGACACAATCTCTAGAATTAGCTTTCCTGAGGCAAGGTCTCCCTGTTGGTGTAGAATCATGCAACAATCGGCTGCATTTCTCCTGCATGCCTCCTTCCTCGCCAACGATCACGAGGTGCTTTCCCCCACAATGTGGTGGCTTGAACCACGATTCAGATGACATACGAGGGTCACTCAATAAGTTATCCACCTGAATAAGAGAGAAACATCCGAGGGGGAAAATAACACTTTATTTTTCAATGTAGTCACCTTTTAACTCAAAACACTTATTCCACTTTGATTCCAAGGATTTTATTCCCTGGGAATAGAAGTCAACTTCTTGTCCATCAAACCAATCAGAAACGGCAACTTTCAGCTCTTCATTGCATGAAAATCTTTTTCCCCGCAAAAATTTTTTCAAGTGTCTGAACAGAAAATAGTCACTAGGAGCCAGATCCGGGCTGTAGGGAGGATGGTTGAGCTCCTGAAAGCCACACTCCCTCACTGCTGCCTGAACTTTCCATGATTTGTGGACGGGCGCGTTGTCATGGAGAAGAAGGACCCCCCTTGACAACTTTCCTCTGCGTTTTTCCTTGATGGCATCATGTAAATTTTTCATGGTGGTAGCATAGGAATCGCCAGTGATTGTACACTTGTCTGGCATGAACTCAAGCAGCAGTAGTCCCTCGCTGTCCCAAAACACAGTGGCCATAATCTTTCCTGCAGATTTCTGAACACGAAATTTGCGAGGCGTTGGCGATCCCTTGTGCTTCCACTGCATGGACTCCTGCTTGGTTTCGGGATCCCAGTGATGAACCCAAGTTTCATCACCAGTTACTATTCTGGGAAAAAAAGTTTCCCCGATTTGTTTAGAAAACTCCAAGTTTTCCTTGCAGATGTCAGATCTGTTCTTCTTCTGAGCTGGAGTCAGCATTCTTGGGACCCATCGAGAACTGACTTTGGACATGTGTAATTTTTCATGAATAATGTGAATCACTGTGCCCTCTGAAATCCCCAGTTCATGAGCTAAAACAGAGACTTTGGTGCGACGATCCTCCAGTATCGCACTCTCCAATTTGTCACACATTTCCTGATCAGAAGCCTCCACAGGGCGCCCCGACCTTGGGTCATCTTCAATTGACTCTCTTCCCCACTTAAACTGCTTGCTCCAAAATTTAACTTGGTAATAAGAAGGCGAAGACACGCCATAAACGTTAGACATACGTTCATGAATCTCCTTAGGTGCCTTCCCTTCTTTGGTGAGGAATTTGATCACTGAACGATGTTCGACTTTCGTCAAATCCATGACACAGACTCGGGAAAAGAAATCTAATGCGCTACCACTTTGAACGGACTTGAGCCACTGAGCTGATATAGTGGTGGGGCACTCACGAGACCTGTCGAGACATGTCACAGCAGGCACAGGCCTGTTGCTCATCCCTTTCATATTCAGGTAGATATCTTATTGAGTGACCCTCGTATATGACGAATCGCCTTTTTAGGGGAACCGGTTACCAAGCAGTGCGATTATATTCCTATTATTGTGCCTATACGTGGTAATGGCTAGCGGACAACAAGGTCAACGAAACACTTGTGCCTTTTCACCTAAGTGTACCTCTTCATTTCCCCTTACCCCCTCTCACATGCCAAGACGTGCATAGCACCAGCATTCACATTGCCCCTCTTCCGGTCTGAACGTGTATCTGAGAAATGGATTTACTTCCCTCCTTCCTTTCTACCTTGCCCATCTCATATCTCGTACCATTTTGGCCGCGACGGAAACGTCGGTAACGCCTCCTTCCACATTCAGTACGCGAGGTACTCCATGCTCAATCCATTTCTTTCCTGAGCTCTAAAAAGTATTCACGAGAGGAATGGACTGCGCCCTGGGTTGATTGTTGTTTTCGTCGCCAATAAATAGAAGAGAAATATTTATTTATGAAAAAATTAATTTATTTGCTTTCAAAATAAAAAAATGACTGCGAACTTGGCCAGAAGGGGAGTCGCCGCCCCCTCCCCTCCCCTGCCTTCCTCCCTCTTCATAGCTCGGTGTCTGGGCTCCTCTGGCCTTAGGCCCCGATGCAGTCGCACCGCCTGCACATTCGATAGCCACTGTCTCGAAGGATCTTTGTAGAAAACTGGAAATGCATTATCCTCGTTCTGAAGATGCTCTGTCCAAAGGGTAGAACCGCATCCTTTTTAACCCTGCCTCATTTAAGAAAAACCTCCTTTTTTCCCCTCTCCTTCCCCAACCCCCACCACTCGGCCCCACCACTCGGAAGGTTTTTCTTAACTGAGACAGGGTTAGGTCCTTCATATCTCAGTGATGCAAAATATCTGGTAATACCATTAGTACCACACATGTAATAAGTAATAGCAAATTTACAAATTTTACAGATAGCTATAGTTTACTTCAGGTTTACTTCATACATACATGTGGGTTTACCACATTACTAACAAGAAACTGAATAACTTCAGGAAACCTTTAAATGGACATAGTACTGTATGTATGCGAGTTAAAAGCACTCGGAGATTCTAAATTTGCCATCCTCTTACAATGGAGACATACCTTCCGTTCCATTTTCATCATTTATGTTTCTAAAGCATCAAGCGTAAATAGGAGTTGGTGTGCGTTAAATGGTGGTGCGCATCCTGCCATAACATATATTTAAAAAAATAAAAACTGTGGCTTCCTGCCTTGTGACATATCACGAAGAAATCATGGGGGTCAACAATTCCTGATACTGTTCTGACCCTAGTGAGTATCTGTGAGTATATATATTTTGCCAAGACCTACTAATTTTCATTATGGAATTGCAGCAGAAGCACCCAAGGCAATAGTTCGCAACATCCGAAAACAGGTCTACCATTAGAGGAACATCACCAAGCACAGACGGACTCTTCTTTTCTGGTCAGTTCGAAATCATATTCGAGATATCAATAGGCGCTTAGGTGTCTTAAAAAATATGGAACGGATCATGGTAGAGTTACATGTTCTCGGCAATCCCGATGTTGACGACACCCAAAACCCTAATTCTGAGGATTCCTTTCAAATCTGAATGTCGCTGGTCTGCTCAAGAAATAATTAAAATATAATTTCTAATGAAAGTGTTATGTGTATACAGCATTATAGAAGCAAAACGATACGAAGCTAAAGGTATAACTCCACATGCAGTCGACACTTTCAAAAATAAATTATTCCGATGAATTTTTCAGAAATGGGATCATAAGTGCACCCCTTGGGTATTTTTGAATTTCATTCGAATTTTTAGGCAAGTTAATGTGTCATAGGTCGGTATTATTGACAGCAAAAGCTGATTAATAAAAGCCTAATGAATTATCACCTGTTGTACCCAGCGGAGGAGTTCTGTGACCAAGCAATGATCATTTTCTGGAATCCATAGTAACGAACTTGAAAAACTAAAAGTTAGTGTGAGGATCAAAACTGAAGACTCATTCTAATTTAATTTTGCAAACCTCATGTTTCGCGTGACATCACATAAACGAAAGAAATGCTTCACAATGAGAAATGTTTAATTTTCGTCGAATTTTACCATTTTATTTATAAGGTGTGAGCAGTAAAGTCCCAAGTTCAAGGTACAGCATTAGCCTCCTTCACTGGCGAGTGTTGAAGGTGTTGGATGTGATTTTTCTTCAAGTTCTTCGTAACGCCTGTGTTGAATCCATTTGTAAAATAAAATCATTACAACAGCGTGGCTCTGTAGCAAAAAGGAATTGACCCCATATGGGCAGATATTCATGAAATTGTGGATTTCATCATGATCTCATTCTGATCCTCATGGTTAATGTATCAAAAGTCTTGGAACAACATGATTCATGCAAGTAAATTTAAGGGGAATAATGTCAGTTGGATGATTAGTAGAAGGACTCCTATCGGAAAAATTAAGCCGGGAATACTTTAACAGGGAATGTTTTGCATTAAAATGAAAGGCCGTTGCTGACGAATCTTGGAAAGTGGAAAACTATTTGGGTGGATGCCAGATGGCTGGCCTGAATATAACTTATTTCATAAACCACTATTTTACATATTACTCTAGGTCTCATACACCTATTGGATCGAGCCAATATATGTCTTCATTTTCCTAATTGATGCTTATTCAATTGCATCCATGTCGTCAGAGACCGCGACGGACAAATTTATTCTCCCATTGTGAAATTGAGTTTTTATTGAAAATTAGAAATAGAGTGCGTCGCAGAAAGTTTGTTCCATGAGAAGGGCACATCCCTGGATGATAAGGAATCATTTTAAAAAATTCAGCTGTCTTTATCTAGAGGTTTGAATGCAAGCGCGATTACATACATACATTGGACAAAAGTTGAATTTTCTGTGGGAGTCAATGCCTTTCTTTCACAGGTGTTATGCGTTGAACCTTCGTTCGGTAAACTATCGACTAACCTCACTCCAGTATGACTCTACCTAGTTTGAAAGGGTTAAAGAATCCGCAGCATGGCTCTACCAATAGCGAATCTCAGGATAAGAGGCGTAAGCTACAAATGAACGCTTCAAGCACAAAATATGACTAACAACAATCCATATGCAAGAGTGATCTGACATATTTCTGCATCCTGAACTCCAGGAGCGATGAAAGTGTTGAAAAGGTACACTGTTATTGCTGGGAGGGCAACTGAGACGGTGAAAGAATGCCTTCATTCAGAGTAACAATTTTCCATATGCCTTTGCATTCATTTCTGTTTCAAAACGTATTTCCGTTACGAGGGCTAACTTTTGGAGTTTGAAATTGACTGAGATTTACTTCAATTGCATTTGAAGATTCCTCAGGCTTCATTTAAACTGATTTGGTTTCATTTACGGCAGGATGAAAGCAAATGTCCCACCTGTGACGAATTCACTTTCCCTTGTAAAAGCGAAACGAGCTTCAGCACCTGCGATTTGCTCAAAAATGTCAAGGTGAGTGCGATTGTCATGAGTAAACACAATGGATATGATTGAATCTACCGAGTGAAATATTATTACATTGCGGGGTATGAACTTCGCAACTTACTCCAAATTCTGTGACTTCCACACGTATTATCAAAAATTGTGTAATACTGCCCATAATCCTATATCATGAGTTCAGCAATCTGCTTCTTGTTCTGCAGAGAGCCTCATGTCAAAACTAACGTGCATGCAAGTAATTTCCAAAGCGATGTCCCTATTCTGCGAGTGTGATATTTTGGCAGTAAGAGTGCAGAAATTGTTGTCTGAACTGAATCCCTATAAAAAAATCTGCAAATAAAAATAATCGCCTCCTCTCCACAAAGGAATACATCAAAGAGTAACTAAAACTGGCTAAATATTCGTGTTGGGGCATAACTGTGCATACAGTATTTAAAAAAGGACGCCACGTAGTTTACGTTTCTCCATCCCACTTTCATGAGCGCCTAAAATTTTCCAATTAAAGTATTAGGTGAATAAGAAAGACTAATGCCAAGTCTAAGAAAATGTCAAACAGTGATTTCTCTTAACAACCTACCTTCACACTTGCCCTCGCCTGAACATCCTCTAAGTTCGCTCCAACTTGACTGATCATACGCAGCAGGCAGTGAATTACCTGGTTTTTATATATTTGTTTACCCCTTTTCATGGTTACTTTAGGTTCAGGCTGGATTTTTATGTCATCATCATTTGCTGCACGCGTTAAAAAATGGAGGCCTAACGCGTTAGGCCTCCATTTTTACATTGTTGTCAGGTAAAGAATAACTGTATTCAAAATTGCATAGTGCATCATTGATTTCAGTCAAAAGCAAAAGCACCTGAACAAAGGGTTGCGAAAGACGAAGAGGCACAGCTCTCGCCGGTTCATGAATATGTTATTTTATGAAAAATGAGTATTATGCTTTCATAAATTTTTACAGGTAGCCATTGGCAGTGGCGAAGAAATATCATTTGTGCAAGCTGCTGAGAACTATCTTCAGGAACACTACAATAAGGCTTGGGAACATCACGTATCCCTCCCAGTCGATTACCACGTTCCGAATGATAAGTTCGAGTACTATGCAAAATGGACAGAGGAAACGCATAAAAAGTCGGATGGAACTGATGTGGAGCTGAGACCAGGCCTTCTAGCCGATGCTAATGTTTTCTACCACTTGAAACGAATCTGTGGTGATGCTCCATCTCTCCTTATTTCCACTGATGTCCTCAATGAAGCATTTAGCTCAAGAAACCCATTTATTTCCCGTCTTCGCCAAGCCTGTCCTCCAACGAATGAAGAAGTTTTGAAAATACTTGATGGTCACTTTGAGGGTGTCACTTTTCTGGCTTACCCAAGTGAAGACAAGGTGTACTGCATCTTCTTCAAAACCAACGAAATATCTTCCCTTGTTACTGACCATGGATCGACTGAAAATGGGAAAAGAACATTCGGCCAAGTGATTAATCAGTGCATTCTGGGCATAAAGTTATTCGCTCTAATGTGCCACATAAAACAAGATAGCTGTGAAATTATTTTCTTTCCAGCCTTTCCTTTCATTGAGAGAGTTGACTTGGATGGAAATTTCTGTGGAAAATGTTCATGGAGAATTTTGACAAAAACAGATCTGCAGACGCAAGAAGATCTCCAGAAATTCCTTCAAAAGAACAATGTAGATACACCTCTTGCTACCAAAATCAAAAGCAATGGCACTGCAATGTCAATGTTTAAATCCATTCTTTCCAAGTATCTGTGCGCGTCTAGGTCAATTGATGTTCCGCGAACTTTTGCAGAGTACATTAGAAAAGTCTATGAACAAATGGAACGTGTATTGGGCTTTTTGACGCCGCATCAGCAGAAGCTAGTACATGATGTGGAATCCCCATGGCTCCTCGTGACAGGAGCCCCGGGCACAGGGAAGACAATTGTTGTGACCGAGAAGGCAAAGAAACTCGCGCAACAAGATGCTACTGAAATAGTAGTAGTAAACCTTGCAGGAGGATACCTCACAAAGAATTTCATAAAAGCATTTGAAGGTCAGCCATTGAAATTGCCTCTGCTTATGACAGGATCGGATATCGCAAATAGAACATTTTCTCACCAAGGGCGATTTGATATGTGTCAAACATCGCTCATTTTCATTGCATCGAAAAATTGCAAAAATTATTTAGTAGCCATTGACTTCATCATGAGCCAAAGTTATATTTTCCTTAAATTTCATGATTTTCCATTACTAAGGGCATACCTGCAGATTGAATTTCCAGCCGCATAACTTTTCGCAGTGTTGTGATTACTCCATTTTACACCTCCCATCCCTCCCCAAAAATGATATCAATTGGCTACCCTTCCATGTTTTCTTGTTAACTTAAAGGTGACCATTAGTTGGTATGATGCTATCATGCATTATGCAAACTTCTGACAAAATGGCATAATAATATTTTATAGCCCATCATGGACATCTCAGCTCCCAACATCATTTCTTATGGATTTACAGCCACTCTGAGTTTGCTTGTATCAACAAAATGCGGTTAACTAAGATCGTTCATATATTGATGATGATAGATAAATTGTTTCTGTTTCGTATATTTTCAGGAATAAATAATATTATCGTGGTGGATGGCAAGGAGAAAGAAATCGAAGAGAACCGTGAAGGAATTGCCTCCTTTCTTGAAAAAGAAGGAATGGGGAGGCACGTTCTGTTTGACGAAGTCCCTCTCACTCTGGGATTTCAAGGTCGTTTAAATGAAGAAAGTCTCTCAGAACGTTGGAATTTTATCTATGAATTCCATGGAAAAGTAAAAAGCCTTACGTTTGTATTCCGTCCGAATGATCCCGATTATAAGAGGGACATCGATCTTCAAAAAATAAATATCAAAGATGGAAGAGGATCTAGCATCGGGATCGAGGTCTTGAATGCAGTAAAACGGAATACACTCGAGGTGTCGAAATTATTTTTAGCCCTCAGCAACTACTCACGCAGGATCTTTGTCTCCCAGGAACCCACAATTAGGCATATGGAATTCCAAAGGCCAGAGGAAACACTGATGCCAGACGTATTTGCCATTCCCTCTTGCTTCGCTCTCCATGATGCCTGCAAGAACAGCCAAATATGTGAAGCCGTCAGATCTTCTCAAGCCTTACGATCACATACTGTTGCTGTAGTAGACACGATTGAACGACGAGATTGCCTTTTGAAAACTCTGCGAGTTCTTTCTAGGCATCAAGAGAACAAGACACAAGTCGGATTTGTGGACGCATTTGGACTATTTCGCGGAGATCCGAACTCCTCCGTTTTAGTTGTAACTGCTGATCAGATTCTAGGATGCCATTTTCAGGATGATGTTGTTATCCTGGACCTTTGGGGCTCGATTTGGAGAAATTATCCTCGCATGATATCTTCGCATCGCAAGAATATCACCATTGCAACGGAGCAGGAAACCCTAGACACAGGAAAGTATTCACAACTCAAATTACCGCCCAGATATTCCCAACATAATTACTCACAGATCAAGGATAAGCTGGACATTGTGTTGAAAGAGGAAGAAGAGATGAAGAAGGAATTAAATGAACCTTTCGAACCCGAGATTACTTTTACTTTGAGGAGCAAAAAATTGAAGAGTTTGAATATTCCTCAATTTAAAGGGAGAATCCCAAGTAAAGTGACCGTCATTTTTGGACCTCCATGCTCAGGGAAAACCACAAAGTTGTTGGATATGATAACAGATTGCGTAAAGACACTCCGCAGTCAAAAGCGTCGAGAAGGATTCCTCTTACTCCATATGGGAAGCATTCTAAGTCAGAAGGACTTGCCGGTTCAACTTGGTGATTATTTTGATATGCTGGATATTGAACGGTCGGATATATTGACGCCTATAAACATAATCAACCACGAGGGCGTGGATAAAGTGCGGTGGAAATTTCAGTGTTCAACTATCCATGTGTATGTAGATGATTATTGCATCCAAGCCACTGACACTGATGAAGAAAAAAGAAATTGGGAGCAAGCACTTCAGAAGTTAAAGACCTTGAACAGTGGAAAACAAATACTAATCCTAAATGTCGTGTTCCAACCTCACTCAAAAAGTGGTAAAAAAATTTCCGTGAGGGAGCTGATGAAATTCTTCGACAAGCCTGAGATGGAGGTTGTAAAAACATGGGAAGGAAACATACCCAAACAGTCTACCGACCCGAAGCTACTCAAAAGCTTTTATGAGAATGAGACCTGCAAGTCATTCCAGCTTGGAGCTAACAGCCTTCCCACAGGCTCCCGGCCGGCTGCAATTGTCCCGGGCAGTACTCCTAAGCACATCCATGTGGAGTATGAGTGCAAGGGCAAGCATTTGTGTTATAACTGCAAGGGACAAGAGAACTGTATGCCGTATTTGGGTGCGTTTATCTGCTTCCGTTATGCAGAAAGAGCAGTGCCAGAGGGTGAACTCGTGTACGTACTGGTCTCAGACAACAATATGAAATCCTTCCTGGAGTCCTGGAAAGGTGACCCCAACTATTCCTCGAGAAGCAAAGACCACCACAAAATGTATTTTGTTCATCCCATGGATTTCCGAGGATGTGAATCCAGATTTACTATAACTGTGAACGTAGAGGCTTCTTGGCTTCTTGAGAGCTTGTCCAGAGCCCAAACGAATCTTCATGTCATCGATTGTTTGCCAGATCATCAAGAAGTTTGGCTTACGATGTGGGAAGAAGGTAAAGTACATCGAGAGATTATAATGAATGAAGATGTTGATCGAGACATCCTTCTAACCCTGAATGCAAAAGGAAAATTTCTAGATCTGGTAGACTTCGAAAATGTAAGAGTCATCGCATCTCTATTTCTCTTATTCTCAAATATGCAATATTCAAAAATATCACTTCATGAGAGGATGTCTCAAAAACGGCATTGTGCATATTATGAATTTAGTTATCAGGAAAATATATTATCGGTTACCAGTTATATTACTTTCGAAAAGGGAAAGCCCTCTAGAAATTGAAGTCCTCTAAATACCCCAAAATTCCTCCTTAGAGTAAATCAAGAAATGCACCAAAGTAAGGATTCATGCGCATGAAGAGAAAAGAAAAAAACTCCATAATTTGTCACACAATGACAATTCACCAAACGAGGGGTTTACCGCAACACACCCTCATAGTAAAGTAAGGAGACATCTACTCCCTCTGCAGCGACAGCAAGAGTCTCATTCCATGGCAGAACCCTCAAAATAGGATAGAGAGGTATTGAAAAGCCACCACCATGTGCAGGTAGCGACCTGAAATGGCAGCACAGAAAAATGGCAGTGAAATCCCCCGTACCGATTAGCTTGTACAAGCAGCGCGCCGTCATAGGAGTCTTAGTGCAGAAAGATCAGACATTCACGAGATTCCCCACCAGGTCGCAGATGGCCCATGGATTACAGACGTGTTGTAGAGTAGCTGTCTTTCATTAGGTTTCCGTGCTCAAAGCCATACTTCCATACACGGCGAGCCAAAGTCAGCCAGTTCAAGTACCACAACAGATGATAATGTCGCACCGTGAACAGTGTGGTCTCTGCACGTCACTTTGCACCATATTCTGAGGTATTCAAATGTCATCTCTGACTGGAGGACCATTGTGTGAACTGCATTTGCATGTAGAACAGCCTCGTCAAAAAGTTAGGAATACGTCGTCGTTTTTTTGACTGCATAATTCCTGCGACTTTCGACTCCCTACTCACAAAGTTCAAGAGTTTTAGAATGCAAAGCGCCGTAGTAGGAGCAAAAGTCTTAAAACTCTCGGAACCTCATCTCTGAAGAATATCCCTATTGAATGGAATAAGGGTCAATGGAAAAATGCGAATTGCCCATGGGCAGTTCCAAAGTTACTGACGTAACACCAGACTCAAAATTAAATCCTGTCTGATGTTATATCTTGACGATGGTTTGTTCCAGAGATTCAATTGTAACAGTGTATTATACAGCACATATACCAGTACCTATTCCGGTCAAATTGTTCTCATTTCCCATGAATGAAGAAAAGGAAGGTCATTCATGTCGTGTTACTGACGTAACACAGTTTAGACCGGTTTTCGTCCTACTGCTTCCCTTCCAATTTTGTCTGATTTGACTCGACGTAAAGCTTTCTTATTTTCAGAAAAGAAGACATAGACCTTCGCCATTCTTCATGTAAATTCACATTTTCTTTAGCTCGAAAATTAATTGACTAGGAGAGTTTTCCGGCGTTAATAACGTAACATATTAGTCAAAAATTGAAATTCACCAAGCAAGTGTTACATTCATTCAAATGGAATGGGGTGTGAGTAATGAAAAATCATCCCACTCCAGATGATCAAGGTTTAATGGAGCCTATTTTAGCCAAGTTTAGTATACATTCAGAGCAAGAAACGTGAGCTAGATGACAGTTTTGTAATACTGTTTTTTGCCACTTTTGTCCCAATAACCCTGAAACTTCCCCGATAAAGAAAAGACTCCGTTCTCGTGTAGTTTTGTTTTTGGGAAATCTGTGATTTTTTTTTATAAGGTCTGGTTAGAATGACTTGAATTTTCTTCCTCTTTTCGGAGTTACTTATTTTTCATTTGTGTAGACAGGCACTTCAATTTCCTTAATAGGAAAATACAGGGTGTCCTTAAATTACCTGAACAATTTCCTGACTTCGCTATTTTGAAAATAAATGCTAAAACACGCGAACTTGACACACTTATGGGAAATATTTTGCAAGTTTTTCCTCCAAAGATTTTAGAAAATCGTTGTGACTTCCGCCAGTCCACGGAAAATGTACTAGATATCACTCCTAACTCGAGAGAGCATGTCTGGCGTAAACATCACAATAACTGCAGGGAAAATTTCATCTGCCTTGAGTCGTGTCAGCATGTCCAAGTAACATTTTTTCTGGTTTTGGGCAAATCATTCCATAACATTTGTGGAATAGTGGATTTCTTGTAGATTTGTAAGGCTAGGGGTTTTCATCACACCTTCAGAACAGTTGATTTTTGGACAGAAAGCGTCCGGCGGACACTTAGGACTTCGTGAGAAACCCTTTAAAATCGCCTCCACGGTCCTTGTATTGACCCTCTGTGTCTAGGTTTCTTTCCGTTGGCACAGGCATCCAGTTTCCAGAAATTTAATGTGGGACTCGTAAATGGAGGTCCTCGAGGGAGGGGGAACTTTGTCAAACTCAATTTTCATGTTCCTCTGCACTGCTGTTGTACTTCTAATTTCATTAGACCACAGAACGAGAAGGGATTTTTGTTGGACGAAAGCCATTTTTTTAAACAAACAACACGTGCAACTGAAATGTTTCGGAGCTCAAAATATACTGTACTGGAAAAAAAAAACTTATTCATATTCTCTTGGAAGCGTCAGGTTTTAATGTTTGCTTTGGAAACGGTGACGTCACAAAAATTTCCCAGAAAATTTATGGAAACCCTGTACTCTCTAATGATATAAAATTCCATTTCGGGAATCAGGACCTCTCTGATCCCTGAAATGCATTCAAATATGATTTTTCTGCTCTTTTTTATTCTCCGTATTCCCTCTCGTGACACCAAGCATCTCACATCCTCCGAGATCGGCCTTCATATGCTCTTCTGCCCTATGACAGGTGCCAACCTGGAATGACACAGCGCGAAGTGTTGGCGAAGTGGCAATGAGGAAAGCGAAAAAGAAAAGGAAGGAATTAGGCATTCTAGACTTTCGATCGGATGGCGTCCTCCTACTCCCTCCTGAGACGCTAGATGTCTTAAATCGCCTCATTCCCGACGGTATTTCTTCGTCATCATCCCCATTTCATGACTGGGGATACGTACATAAACGTGGTAAGTGACGCCTCTGCAGGTGATGTCCGATTATGTTTCAAGGAAACTCCGTGCTTGCTGGAATCCTTTTTCCTGCAAAGCCCTATCTCAGATATCAATCCGATATTGCTATTTGAACTATACGAGGCATGACTGAGAAAGGGGTGCCCAATAAGTTCCCGACCGGACAAAACTGTCATATTTAATCATTGCTTTTTTTAAATACGTCAGTAGGGGTTTGGAATATTCACGTCCTCCTAATTAGGACATATCAACTTCCGTTCCAATTACCATTCAATGAGATATACTGCAGCATTCCAAGAAGACGCAATGTTCGAACTTGTGGATAGCCACTGCTTAGATCATAACCAATAGAAAACCTTAGAAACCAAGTTAGATAATAACCAACAACAAATTGGATGCATACAGTCATCACGGAACCCTCAATTGCCTGTATGCCATAATTTTCAACGAGTTCAGCCCTACAGATCTCAAATGAGACACGTCTTTCGAATTTCGTACGCCCGGATATTGAATGATGGATTGGTGATTATTTCCATCGTCGAAGAGTCGCAGTTTTTCTTCTGTCATGTGACAATTTTCAAGGAGTTCAGTGTTTCACGAGTGGGATTTGGTTCACGGTTCGGATTTGGAAAACCCTTGGACGAAGAAAATCAAAGTTGTCCTTCAACATCAGAGACCTTGAGAACCGTAGTATTGAGCTCTGCTAGGGATGCAGATCGACTAGATTGGATGGACTTATCCCTTGGATCGCAAGAGTAGCTCTGCTGGCTATCAGGATCCCGTTCGAGTGCTGTCGAAAACTTCATCAAGAACCTCAAGTTTTAAAACGCAAAGGCCTTAAAGGTCTGCTGGTAGACATAATCGGTCTGACACGATCTGCGGGCTGGGTCCATGAACTCGGTCGGCGATCGAGTTTTATGCTGTTGATTGCGAGGAGTAGAATCGAGCCGAATGAGTTGGATTAGGAAAATTGACCCATGCAGGTCTCTGGCGAGCAGACACAATCCAATAATCAACGAAGGTCGATTTGTTGATTGTGTCTCCGGTTTAAAAGTAAAAGATTATTTGTATTGAAAGCGTATACTCTTTCAAAATTTTATTTTTCAAAACACCAACTGAAGACGCCTTCAAAATAAGCAAATTCCTTGCAATACCTTATTATTTTTTTAATTAATCCTTTTATCAGCGAAATGAGACTGAGATTCTCCAGAACCAGGAATAAGGCATTGAAGGGCTATTCAAATTCCTGTGGATCTTGTGGCCAAAGATCGTGGAAGGTTTTGGGTGTTCAGGTGAGTCTAGGTCACTTACCACGAAATGCAATTTTTGTCTCCTGGTCAAACTCTGCGGGTATTTGATGTGAAAATGCGTTATATTTGACGAAAGCTATGACAGCGAATGTGTATGTTTCCTTTTCATTTCTCTAGTTAGCTGAACCTCCGTTATTCGCGTTTTCCAGGGCATTTTTTTCTCTAGATAAATCCAATATTTCAGCCTGCTATGAATGTTGACCATTTTAGAATTTCTGAACCTGTTATGTGTTCGCTCTAAACCTACCTCACGGATGAATGATTCAGAGAAGATAATAATTCGAGTCTCTTCATTGCTACCATCCTGTTTCTTACCTGGAATTCACTTTCTTTTCCGCTTTCCAGGATCCCCAGGAGCAGTGCCTGAGGCACCAGAAAAACAAAAAGACGAGATTCTTTCAGAACTCAAAAGAAAGGGACTGGAGTGGGACAAGGATCCCCCTATACCCTTGGAGACTGGAGGAGTGTTGGAGTCTCTCTCTGTCTCCCTTACTGGATCCCTCCTCCATTTACCTCACCTCCAGGTTATAGTTCGCATTCTGAAGTTTATATTAATATCAGTTCAAATAGAGGATCACAAGACCATTGTCATGGACTCATACAAGACAATGAAACCAGATTTGACACATGTATTAGCAACTCATATGCGTAGTCGCCTCACTTGTACCGATGACTCAGTAATGATCTACGAGAACGTCAAAATATAAATAAAATGGCTAAATAGTCAGAAGATATGGAATACACCCTTCGCACGGTCGTCCGAAGTCGAAATTACAAAAATATACTAAACTGTCCTTTTCAGGGGTTCAGGAATTGCCATGTCTTTCAGAAGTATATTTAGGCAGTCTTTTGTGGAAATTTTTCGCTTGTGCAGGTATCAAACAAAAGCAAGTAATTTTCGACTCCTAACTTTTGATACTTGGAAGATACTTAAAACTAAATTATGCAATAGGAAATCAAAGTAGCCAATCAAATTCTTCGACAGCATGGGTGTCATTAGATAGACATCGACCGGTAAAATCATCATGTTTACGACGCGTTACATCGGCTACCCCCTATAGAGGACACCACGTCGGCCGCTTACTCCCTATCGAATCGTCCTTCTCAATAAAAAAATAAAGTAACACACCGATCTGCCAATCCATACGTGACATTCCCGATTCCAAAACGGTTCAACATACCCTATGGCAGTGTTTCTCAATCTTTTTTATTTCACGGCACACTTTTGAGTTTGCTCGATCCTCGCGGCATACCGAACCAAATTTTAGAATGTCGATGTGAATAATATTTTCATCACCCACTAGTCCATTCGACTGACATTCGTCGGTCGTAGGTTGAGAATAATAAAGCACAGTGATGTTCTTTCTTTTCCTATAATTCTGAAAATACCATGGCACATCAGTGACTTTGTCAGGGCACGCCGATTGTGAAGCCCTGTCCCATGCCACCACGATCACCCAACGAGGCCCATTGCTTTCAGGTTCCCTGCATGGATTTCATCCACGTCAGGTTTTCATTTACTTAAGCTAGCCATCGCTTCTTGAACTTCCTCCACGATGAGAATATTCTCCTTGCAGATAGACTCCAAGGTCATCAAGGTCCGTCGGAGGAGCTCCTCAAAATATTGATGGGGTAGATGGCTTCGTACCACATAATACACTTAAATTTCTTTTTCATCCATTGTAGAGGAGATTGGTGGAAGAGATCTCTGATCCCCTTGGACCTTTCCTCCATTCCGTAGCATTTCTCCTTCAGAGGACCATTGTCCTCATCCAAAAGAACAAGATAAACTCTCGTGAGTCACTTCCCTTCCTGTAATAGTATTCATGCATCATGTCATCTCTTGGAAAGACCCGCTATATTTCTGGGAAGTATTATTTCGGATGAGGCTCTTTTGCTTGGTCAACGTCAGAAAGTTTTCTTGCATAGCTTCTTCTTTGCAACGACTTCGTATTCTTTGATATTCATAAAATTCATGTTCATTTTCCTTCAGCCGTTTTAGCACAGGAACAAAAAGAGAAGGCAACTTGAATTTATTTTTCCGCGAGGAAACGTATCGACAGAAGAGTAGTTGGTACAAGTGGAGCGCACCGATCTCTGGCCAGAGCACCTCTGTCCACTCATAAAAACGCTACTCTTTGCAAAGGGATAGGGTGGGGCAGAGGTTGACTTACAAGCTACAAGAAACCGGTACCTCCGAGAGGAAGAGAAGAAGCAGAAGGCTGAAACTACCAGAAAGAGACTGCGTCCATGTGGACGAAGTCATTGATGGTCTGAAGGTCTACATTCAAGGGTAGGTCTTTCTCTAATCAATCCCTCCTCCTCCATCAGATATCACAATTGTAATTATCTGGGTTAAATAGTTTTCCTCTGCTCCAATAATTCCGCCATCTTAAATTGCAAATCCAAAGGTGACCCTTGTAGGAGGGGGTCCATTGATATGTGAATGTATGGAGACTTTCATTGCCCATTGCGGTTGCAAATATTCAAAACGAAAACCATTCATTTCCACAAATGCATGCAACCCATCTTGCTTGGAATGATGTGAATGCTAGGCAGTGTTCCTTTTTTCTCGGCCTATACTCATTTTCTATTTATTATCTTTACTTAGCAACCGCTGCACCCCCGCGAACATGTTCACCCATGTGACGGGAAATGGAAAGTAGCTTTTATGCAATTGGGCATTTCATTTGAACAGCAGCTGCATCTGATAATTCCTTTAAAAGTTATGACGAAATCATGTTGAAACTCAGTTTCACCACATCTTTTGAAAGGTCTCATGGATCTACTGTTTGGCTACTTCTACTACTCTTTGGCAAAATGACATATCCCTGAACGGTATCTTTCTTTCATACCTGAAAATGGCGTAGCACTTAGATGGGGGACACTGCATCATTCTCTCTAGGCATGGATATTTTACAGCATGTAAAAAAATATATTGATCTCAAATACCTCTCTCGCAAATATCATTTGCATCAGGCTGTCCTTTGAAAAGTCACAGCAAATGAAAATATAGTGGTGACTTCTTAGAATATATGTACCATATATGTACAATAATGGAGCAGAGAAAAACATTTACACCAGATAATTACAAATGTGAAATCAGCTAGAGGAATAGGAATTGATAAAAGAAAGGCCTAACCTTGCATGTGATCCTTCAGTTCAATCTCATGGGAATTGATTAGAGTCCTGCTATCTCCGCTTGCTCCATTAACTTCATTAGGCATCTTCAGCACATTTTGAGATTTAATTCGCACCATTTTGATTATCGTCTGTGATCAGTTCTAAAGAACGAGCATCATTCGAAAAATGGGAAGGAACTCAACGAGAATGAGAGAATATGTATTCGAGACTTGATTCCGCGCGAAAAATTTGAAGAGCTATTGATGAGCCTAAACCTGTTTCATTGCCGCAAGTTTTGGTGTCATGTGACTTCATTCAGAAGTGTTTTCAATGACCAAAGTTCAGTCAAAATCGGAATTATCACTTGGGTAATGTTCCTTGTGACTGGAATAGGGTATATGTGAAAATGAAGGCTTTGGATGCAGGAAGAATTTGAGTGTGCACTCTTTGAAGGTCTTCCCCATAGTGAAGGTTTTTTAAGATCTGACACGGATTATCGAGAATGTGGACCTAATCATGACTTTGAAATAAAGAAACGGATTTGAGAGCAACGAATGTGTTGACTGCTTTCCAGATACATTTCTTCATAAACTGGAAAACATGAGTGAATGGAAGGGAATCCTCCTCTTTCACCAAGAATCAACGAATACCACTCTCCCTGTAGTGCCAACCTCTGGTAAGTCTTCCTGTCCTTGTCTCGCTTCTCTCTCTTACTCAATAACAATGTATTCATTTCTTTCGATTTACCACTGTTCCCAAGAAAGTGCTCCATGGGTTGGTTCCCATGAGAACCATGAATAGTCATTATGAGAACGATTGGTATACAATGGTAGTAGGCCTTTTTTAAAAATCATTTTAGTCGTATGAAAGCCAAACTTTTCTTTTTGTCGCTTCAAGTTTGAATTAGAACATTTAAAAAGAAAATGGGAGTCAAGTGAATAAGAAGAAATATGTTCATCTTTGCATTGAAAGGAAGGAGGGGGATTATACAGTTGCCAAGTATTCACAAAGTTATAGGACATCTGCCTCTGCATTGTGTTTTGTGTGCGAATAGAAATGGAAGCGGCGACTGAGATCTACCTACGAAGGAGTAATTAGTCAGACAAGTACAAATGAGGTTACCCCACGATTCTTGATAGCATGATCGCATCGAAGAACGTTTTATCAGCACCATGATCTGATTATTCCTACACTTCTCCCTTGTAAGATTATCTTCCTTGAGACCATCGCATTCATCCAGTTGTTTCGGATTTCCCATAGCAATATTTCCTAAATATGCAGGATATTAGACTGGAGATGAAACTGGTATGAAAGTGATGATGAAATCCGGTATTATCACAGATGATGTTTGAAATTATGGTATCAGTAGTCAGTTTCGGTTCCAGTCGACTTAGGGTAAAGCAAATAATTAAATGGGAATGGGGCATTCTGACCGGCAGTTTTGATGATCTACAAAAATCTGGGTTCATTTGAACCTTACTATTTTGGCTGGTGGTTCGATTGTGACTGGCTCCCAAATAGCATGTGAACATGCAACGTCCAACCTGTGTTCAAATAAAATTGAAACATTCTATTTTAATGAATGAGGAGGTACATACGAGATCTACATAATAGATCAATGGACAAACTGGCGGATCAGGTACTCATATATGTTCAGATACTGCTGGAAACCGCGACATAGCCATATTCCTTCTTTTATCGAGAAAAGGGATTGAATGAAAAGGAAAGAGATGCTTTTGTATCTCCCTCCCCTACATATAAGGGGGATACAAAAGCAGCCAGACCAAGGCTGAGGGACTGACTGCTAAGACCCAATCAAGCTCGAAACCCATATTCAATACTAGTGGATTTTCAGTTCCTTTGGGTGCGTTCCTTTTGCTGCACTCATTAATTCAGCTTTGGTTCCAGAAATAAGCCTGAAATAAGTTCGGCCCTTTTGTGCATGCAGCACGTCAACCTTCCCCATGGATACGGAACTAGGCGGATTTCTCTAAGGTCCACCTACTTTGTACATATAGTTTCAATTCCACCCAGGAGGAGGCATCCACCTGCTCCCGAATGCATGTAGGGCGTCCACGAGCTCCTAAACCTACTGCAGGATATGCAAAATGAAAGATCCACTTGTTTCCAAATCCACTGCCTAAAGAAAAGCATGTTATACATAAGGAAAGTAAGTGTGACTAGTATACAAGGTAGAGCATACCTGTGTGCCCTTACGAAAATGTCCTATAGGAAACCTATAGTTATTTCTTATAGGAAACCTAAAGACTTTCCTATAGGTTTTTGAAACACGAAAAACCTATAGGATCCTTTAGGATCCTATAGGATCCCTATAAGGTCTTATAGGTCTCCTGACCTATAGGATTCGGGGAGGATATTTTGGGTTTCGAAACCCAGGCATTACGACTAAACGGCGACCGGGGTTAATATGAAGCATTTCAGTGTAAATCAAAAACCGAATAGGGGCTTTTCCATGGTAGGGACACTTGCATTATTAATACCAGTACTGCGGGGGGCTGCATAATTTATGACCCCACCCCACATGCGTCCCTGGATTGTACATCTATTTCCTTCGGTAGGAAGAAGTGGTATTACTTCTCTCGACCTAAGGTAATAGAAGACAGAACCTGCGAGCACGTCTCTTTACTGAAACTCCATATGGATAAAGTCTACTCAGTTTCGTACGTGGCCTTCAAAAAGAGTAAGGGCATATTTCTTCACGGGATTCCATGATTATATCAGGAAGATGGGCATGACAAATAAGGAACTGTCAAAGTTAATTGATTCCTATAATGAGGCAAGGCGAGACATTAGGGGAAGTACAAAACTCTCTGCTGAGAGATGTTTCCTTGGGTAAGGGGAGGGCACTTTTGTGCCCTTTGAGAAATGTGACAACCCAATACTTCCATCTAGTGGCCTAGAGGAGAACTTCAAACGGAACCCTATAGGCCTATAGGGTTCCGTATAAGCCTTATAGGGAACCCTATAGGTCCTATAGGTCCTATAAGGAACCCTATAGGCCCTATAGGGAACCCTATAGGTCCTATAGAGAATTCTATAGGTCCTATAGGAATCCTATAGGTCCTATAGCGAACCCTACAGGTCCTATAGGGAACCCTATGGGTTTTATAGGGAACCCTACGGGTCCTATACAGAACCCTTTGGGTCCTATAGGGAACATATAGGCCTTATGGGGAACCCTTTAGGTTCTATAGGGGGATCCATAGGTTCTATAGGAAACTCTATAGGTTCAATAGGGGACTCTATAGGTTCTATAGGGAACTCTATAGGTCCCAAACTGAACTCTAAGGGGCATATAGGATCCTATAGGATTCCTTTAGGTTCCTATAGGATTCCTTTAGGTTCCTATAGGATTCCTATAGGATTCCTATATATTCCTTTAGGAATATATAGGAATCTTATGAGACATTTTCGTAAGGGTGAGGAAGTTGGCTTCTCGTAGAATTTTCACTGTGTGAATCTAGATGCTTTTGCATGTAATGTTATTAATCTAGATATGGCAAGGTTAGTCCAAGGAATACGCTATGGGTGTTAGAGGCGAGATTCAAAATATGCAACCAAAGGGAAAGAAAGGTTTTGGGACTCTTCCTGGAAAGGGCAACATTTTGGTTGCTCACATCGAATTCGGGCATGAGAAAAGCAAGTGCGGGATGGAACTCTAAATATAAGTTATAGCATTAGAGCATTAGATTTCTTCTAGAATTACGGGAAAGAGAGGATAGAAATTTCTAGAGGATAGTTGAAAAACGGATTTTTGATCTGTATTTCTTTCATAAAGATGCCTCATTTTCGTATTCAAAGCAATGCGGTAGCTATGACTTCACACACTTAATTATTCCTTACCATAGAATATTTTTATTGCAAAGGATTATGCCTGAGCCATATGGTGGCTTATCCAATTGCGTCCACTGTCATCATCAGCGTCACTACATAGGTTTGGACCAGTAGAATGAGGTAGGTCGAGAGCTAGAAGCAACGAGATATGTTGATCTTTCATGTTAACCAGGAAATACCATCATGGGAGGACCGATCTTGTCCATAATCTAATGCATAATCCTTTTTGAAAAGTCCATGAGCTCGCCGGAAATGACTCAATAAGTGTAATTCAAGAGACATGCAGTGGAATGCAAATACGATTGTTATTAGACATAAGAACTCTCCAGAAGTATATCTTGCGAATTTTTCGAATTACATGGTCTCAGACCATGATAACAGTTACATGTTAAACTTCCGCCCGACCCGCCCCGACCCGAAGCCTCCTTATTTCAAGATCTCATCTTGAAAAATGTGACCCGCGACGGCCCGCGGGTCGTTTCGGGTCAATCGGGCTCGGTCACAGCCTTTGCGGGGCTCTAAACCCCAGTTCCTCCAAAGGTAGAAACGACAGCTGTTTTCCACACAAAATTATGAAATTATTTTCTCAATTGTTGAAAAGTTATAACATTGTTGGCGGCACGCGTAAAAATAACACGTTTACTAATATGTGCTTGTTAGTTTGAGTGTTTACATGCATGTTTGTGAGCTAATTAATTCACTGTTAACGGAAAGTTCAAATAAATATCCGAACTGGACCATGCGAGAAGACCTATTGTAGGATCGACAGTGTGGTCCCGAATAACGAAGAGAAAAATAATTATTGATTAATGGAATTCGAATCTTAGTTGTGCAACTACATGAGAACTGTTGGACTTGGGGGCGATTGGCGAAGCTAAAGGACAAAGAGTGCTGCTTCCATGTGTTGACTTGGCTCCGTCCAGAAGAATGTTAGCAGAGACTCACGCCATTTGCGTAAGGCAGGTTGCATTCTTTATATATATCTGTAAATAGGTCCTAAAAAAAATTAGCCCAAAGGGATGACACTTAAAATTAAAATTTGATCGGAATCAGTTACTAGATAATTCCTTGAATACAAAATGTACCATCAACATTTTTCTGCTTCAATAGAAACTAAAAAAAAATCATTTCAAAATACGTCTAAACTCGAAAAATATGCTATGAGGGGATGCCTCTTACAATGATCAGCAAAACTGGTCCAATGGTTTTGGTATTGGTGCTTGCAGGCTAGTAATTCCATGCTTCGAAGGACAATAGCCCTGCTTCTTTGCTTCCAAGACCCATTGGTTTTGTTTTGAAAGAGTGGGTATTTGTGGAGTAATGAGCTCTCACAGGTGTGTGTGTCATTGGACCAGTTTTGCGACTTGTGTTCAGCGAAGTACGCTTTCTGCGAGTTTCTTTTGTATTCATACATTCATCTTCAGTTTTTAACATTTCTTCGACACGTACGAGCATGTTCTCCATTAAGTCTATTCACACTTGTAGTAGAATATTGTTCCACTCAGGATTCACATGCTTCCATACCTCAAGCATACCGCTTGGTTCAGCTTGGTTCTACAGCCATGTGGCCATCGAAGCGGCACAACTAGTCGACTCCGATGTAGTCGACCAGTCGAGTTTATGGAGATAGTCGAGTCGATGTTTACCGACTCCTTTGATTGTCATCCACCATCAAACTTGATCGTACCTTATACATGCTACGCTGTGAACGCACTATCCGACTTTTTCGACACCGACTTGCGCCCGACGGACCACAGAGGATTGATCTTTGGTCATCGGATCAATAGACGTGCTGCTAGTCTTCCACGGTCCAATGCTGGTGTCGCCATGCCAAGGTGAGGCGCTATTGGGTGTGAACTGGAGGTGAACATGCGTACATTGTATTGTACAGCTTGGCGCTGTCGGCCGTCATAAGCTTGATTGGTCGTCGACTGTGGCTCTTCTTCGCCCCAGTCTTGGTCTTAGTACGCTTCTATTCATTGTAGTAATACCTACACTCAGTTGTGCTCCAGTTTTCTGCGATGAAATGCTGTCGTCAAGCAGAGAAACTATGCTGCTGTGAGCAAGTCTATCGTCCCTGGATTATATGGTTTCCATTGATTGGATATACATTAAATTATAAGTCTGCAAACACCTAAACCACAAACATTGGACCAGTTTTGCTAGTCACTATGTAGTTAAAAGTATTATTAAATTAGAATGTGAAGAGCTACTCGAATACTAAGTTTTGCACTTCTCTACTTCCATATTTCGCTGGTAAAAAAAGAATCTGAGAAATTCTTGCCCCCCCTGAAATGATATGCCCTGTAGGTATATACCTCAAATGGAATTTTTTTTCGTTCATGACATCCACATCCATATTTTAGATCTCTAAATCCTCCCACTTCCCCGGTTTCAGTTTTCAAAGGTTAAACTTTTCAAATCTCTTTATTTGACTGAGGCAAAGAATGTTTTTGAAAATGTGTCTCTTCAATCATGATCTTTTCACATCAGTTCCAGTCCTGCTTCTCTTTCAATGTTTCTAGGGCAGATGTGGATGCCAGTGGATAAGCTTCCTCAAGTGTATGGACCCTACAAAATCCCTTCAACTCTTAAGAAACTCTCCTTCAAGGGGAAGATGGATGTGGAATGGATGTCTCATACAGTTCCTCTCTTGTGGGCCATGGAATGGAACCAAAAGGAAATAGGTCCTCTCAGCTACGGTGAGGAGGGAGAACATGGTGTTTCTTTGCTTTCTTATCTCTATATCTTGGTGTCTGTTGTTAGAAAAATATCCAAGAGCATCGCGCATCCATATCGCTTATACGACTACTCTGCTAAATATGTAATCCAAATGTAAATGTGTACTTTTACTTTTGGCTGCTATGTGCACCCACGAAGATACTACAGAAGATTTTGAGTTTCTAAATGACATTAGCATAAAAATCACCAACTATTTTAAGTATGTGATAAGTCCTGGGTATGGTTCACCTGATTAAGCCTTACCTGATCGATGAAAGGATCAAGAACACGAAGACATTGACACGAAGGAGACCTAAAGTCCCTGGATTTGGTTGCATGCAGACCTCATCATGCAAATCTTGCCTTGATGTACACAACTGAATGTCGTCTCATATACGAGATCTACTCACAGAATGACTCATTGAAATTGAATCGTTATTAACCATATTTTAACTGGCCATAACTTTTCAAGGGGCTGTCAGATGCAGCTGATATTAGAAAAAAAGGTTCATCAGGCGAGAGCCTTTTCTCCCCTTCCTAACTAACGACAAGAACATTCAGATCGCTCAACCCTAGCTTAAAGAGGTCATTCGACTTTCAGTACTCACCAACCTTTCAGAGATCGTCTTACACTACTCATGAAGTCAACTTGGAAATTGAATCATTTCTCCATCCTCCTGTTTTCCTTGGACAGGGGCACGTCGTAAATGCGATTCCTTGAGAATCCAATTGTCTTTCTCTGTGGTGTCTGTGTGGGGAAAGATCCGGCTCCTCAAAGAGAGTGGACGGACTATTTATAGCTGGTAAATCGGCGTCATCTAGCTTCGATTGTGTGAACATCTGTTTCTGGCCACTGTCCGATGTATAGTTGTCATGCTCAAGTAGAGTGCTTCCTTAACGTTCCACGAACGTCCTTCAAGAAATTCATGTATTGATCATCAAATGGCACCTTAAATTGAGCGCCCAAAAGCTGCTCTTATCTGGACGTTGAACGTCAAAGAACTTCTTTGAGCCGGGGTTGAGCATCCTCCTGAACGTTTTTGTGTTACTTTGGGTGAATGGATAATTTTTCGTTCTCTTCACACGCATCTCCAGAGCAGAGGAGGTTCATCAGATATTGGAGAGAAATCTGCGCTTGAAAAATGACTCTCACTCGCACCCTAAGAACGGGATACTATCATTCCCAAAGGAGTAATGGTTGTACTTCCGAGCATGAAAATTGGTGACCCTATAGCTTGTGACCCTTGTGACAGGAGCAAAGTTTTACTTGGGACGAATGCAACCCTTTGATACTGTTTGGGAATATTCAACTTACGTCCTGGAAGAACGTTCAGGGCACAAAATCTGAATTGCTTTTGATCGTTCTAAATTCCGGAAATTTGAACAGTCAAGGAACGTTTCCGAGAACGATCGTCGAACATTGGCAACACATGAAATGAAACGTTCATTGAACATTCTTTAAACGTTCCGGTGAAACTTAGGTACTGATGGTCGAACAGCACCTTAACAGAGTGCTCAAAAGCGGCTTATCCATGAACATTGTAAGCTTCAAATCCCCTTGAACAAATCTGAGCGTTTTTGAGAAAGTTCAGGAGCTACTTCGGGAAGGTGTTGACCGCCCAATCAGCAATCAACGGTATATGACACGACTTTATGTGCAATTTGGCCTAAATAATTTTCACTGGTTACCTGACTGTTCCTTAATCCACTTACGTACAGGTTTCGCTCTCTTCCTGTTCACAGTAGCATACATTTCACTTCTGAGCGACTTCATGTAGGCACAAGCTTTTCACTCCATTCCTAAAGGACGGTCTAGGACGAGGATGAAAGACAGGTGATTCAAGTTTCCATTATGGGGATTGGTTGGTCAGAAAAGTTCTATAAATTAGGCCCAGAATAGGTTGGGCATTACGTTTGTCAATTTATCAAACATGTTCAGGAGTATTCGTCGCTTTTTTGACTTGGCCAATCGAACAATTCTGTGCGACGTCCTATATTGGAGATTTTGGGAGAAATTTTTCCTATTTTTCATCTTTTCATGAAATTCCTTTTATTTTCCATTTAATATTCGCTTAAAACGATTTCTGTTGTGTGGTGGAGTGGGTAGAACCTCTCCTCCAATCTTCTTTCCCTACTCTACGACGAAATCCTCTGTGCCACCAGTGGCGTAGATAGGGTTGAAGTTATTTTTATTTTAAAAGAAAACTTTGTTTCTAGCTTAAAGACTTTGCTTCTTATGGTCATGGAACCTGTCATATCTAAACACCCAAAAGGGATGTAACAGCCAATGATGAATAATTAATGTGATTTTGTCTTTCCAGAAGAGCTGCAGAAGCACATAAATCAATTGGATAACGAATCGGACGCTTCATCTAAAAAAGTAAGTCTTTGGCTTAAATCGCGATTTAGGAGTTGCAAAAATGACCGCAGAAGCCAGCGCTTGATGAAAGCAGGCTTCAAGTGTCGCATTCTTTTCAACGGACCAGCATATCTGCCAGTTCCTGACTTTTTGGAGGAAGTACTTAGGATAAAGGAAGGAAGCAACTATGCATTGTAATTAATCACAGAATTCTCCCTTTCATAATTCCACAAACTTGCTTCTTTCTGATGGCTGCCCTTATGGCGAAGCGGCGACTTAGTCGCACACCCACAAGACAAAAGAAAGAAACATTTTAATTCTGGGCATCAGAGAGAGTTTGTGGAGTATCATCCGGGGGTTGACTTAAATGAAGAAAGTGGTAACATCAATTAGGTCAAAAACGAGGGGGGTGGGAATAGAGTTTGAAGCTCATTCACTAACATTCGCGGTAGCGTTGTCATTTCCATCCTTACTCCGCAAATGAGCTCGACATTATTTCGATTGATGCCAACTCTCCCTCTTCTCCTGAAGCAGACCGGGATATGCTTCCAAGGAATGATTTCTGGTTACAGGAATCTCGACGGAAAAGCAGATGGTGTGCGGTAGCTCTTTACTTTCTCCCTCAAAACTTTTCATGTTGAATATATCATCTTAATGCCAATAATATGGTTATCGTGTTTCCATAGCTGCATTCTGCAACTTTCCTCAACTAGTGGGAATCACAAGATCATGATCTGAATTATTATCATACTAGTTTATCCCGGAGGCAAAATGGCAAAGAAAGTAACGCCAGACAGAATTCTCTTGGCCAAGAAGGCGGAAGCTGGAGAAAAAAAATTACATGTTGCAATTATGGGCAAATTGCTCCTTACGTCTTCAAAAAAGGAGCAATTGTACACTGCCTGATGCCTGGTCAATTTGATATGAACTGCCCTGATTGGGACAATGATGCGTGGGGGTCCTGTAATTTAAAATCGTGAAGCTGCTAGAAACAATGAAATCGCTCATGTTACATTAGAATCAGCACAAATGGAAATATTGAGAGAATGTTCGTGGAGATCTTCAAGAAATATCGAAAGGACGACCTATGAATTAATGCATTCGAGATCGGAAGGAGAAGGGGAAAGTAGATGTGGGAAATAGGCGTGGAAGATTGTAAGAGTGATACGTTCGAAAACGAAGTCGGACTAAAATTATTTCATTTAATTACTTAGTGCCAGGTACGACTAAGTCCGAATTTATATCACTCTGGACTGTACAATGCTGAGTCACCTTGATACGGCCTGGAAGGGAAGCAGGGCTTGCTACAATTGTAACTCCTAATTATTGGTACTTCATCACGTTTTTGTTCACTCGGGTAGATAATACGTGGTTTTGCTTGTGCGAGGTAATAGAGAAATTCGAAAGAAAACTTGCCAAGGAAGGTCTTACAATTTAACTTAGGGAAAGAGACCGAGGTTTGTCGCGTCATTTATCAACAGGAGAGGTGGGGCGAGTCAGAGATGGAGCAGAGAAGGCGTGGGAAGGGGGATACCATAGACCATTAAGGGAAGGAATGCGCCCAAGCTGCTGCAAAATAATTTTCAGCACGGTGTCGCACTCGACGGACACAGGTGGGAGAAAAGGTGGGTGCGGGAGAGGCGGCGACAACGGGAACTGCAACAGTAGCAGACGCGGCGGCGGCGGCGGCGGATGCGGACTCGTTTGCAGGAGTGACAGCGGCCGCCGTGAGTGGGCATGTCGGCGTCGCGGCTCCGGCCTGAGAAGCGGGCGCCCCACGCGGGGCGAGCGGGAGGCGGAGCGGGAACGAGCTATGTAGCTGTCCTAGACGGTGGGCGCCGCAAGAAGTTGAGCACTTTTTTTGATGTTACAAGATTTGTTTGCTCTCTTAGATTCGTTGAGTATTTTTTGTTTGGAGAGAGCCGGCAAATATGGGATCACTGGTGGTCTGTCGCCATCTTTCCTGCCGTTTAGGGCAGGCGGCGGAGTTCGTCAAGTGGGTGCCTAGGCTTTCGTAGCATTTGGATTGGAGCCCTTTCTGCTTGGCCTAGCAGCTCCACTGAGTGTGACCCTTGCCTACGCAATACGAACAGACCTTACTCTCAGATTTGTATCGGCTGATGTGGATGTAAGCTCTGAATGATTCTGATTCTGAATCTTCCATTGAATTTGAAGCATTTTATTTTGGGCTTCCTTCTGGATTTGAATGGAAGATCCATATTCCATTCTTTCAGCCAGATGAACCATTTCATTTTTGGCTTTTTCCGCTTCTGAAGAACTGAGCACCGGGTGATAGCGAGGATCGAACTATATTGCGGCCAATATGAGACTGGACGAAAACAGGAAGCTTTCTCGATCTTCCATGCATGATTTCAATTTTGAGGGCACAGATCCAAGGAGTCTGTCCAGCTTGAGTTTGCAAGTAGTCCAGATTTCTAAGAAATTATCCACGAGTCAAATTCTCATGCTTGAGACGAACAGTGGCTACTTTCGATGGTTTCAGAATATCTACCAAGATTGTGCTACGTTCCCATGCACGTTCACTCAAGTGCAGATCTTGATTTGCAACGGACAATTCCATGCACAACTCCCTCAATTCGATTAATCGAGAAAGCATATCATGAGTAGAAGACCACCTCGTTTCACAATCTACTATGGGTTTCTTAATCTTTTTCAAAGTGATGGGATTCATGATGTTTGGTGAGCAAAGCTTCTTGACGATCCCACGTGCCAGCAGAATCAAATCTTCCAAATTCTTTTCCTTGAAAAAATAATTTACAGCAAGCTGTAGGGTGTGAGCGGCACAGCGAACCGAAGTGATGTTGGTGCTCATGGAAGAAATGACATCATTCATGATTTTTTCAGAATGCAATGTATCTAGTGACTGAGTTTCCCCAAATTGCTCATCGTCAACTTCTTCTCTGCAAAGCACCTACTTGTAAAGAGACTTCACTCATCAATTCATAAAGAATTACTAGAGAGGGAAGTTGAAAGGAAGTATGCGACTCGGAAGCGCTTTGTCGATGCTGATCCAGGCTCTTATGCAGGAAAATGTTCATTGAGCTTAGGCGTACAGTCTGCCACACCAGAACAACGCATTGTGAAAACGCTCAATGTCAGTCTTGTTCTATTACTCCAGGAGGTTCGTGTTGGTCACATGGAGTGGTCGGCCCTTCAGCTTTATGGATGAGTAACGGTCTCGAAAAAGATAGGATACAGTCATTTTGAACTATTTATGCCGAAGAAATCTGTAGTGGAACGTTTTCCCCAAATCAAAAGGTTCCCTGGCGTAGATAAAGAAAACGTTGAGAGCGTGACTTTCCCATCCTCGCAACCCGAGTTATTACGACGGAAAAGTTAAATTTGGATTTCGCTTCATCATGAGTTTATTCCATTATTTTTTATGATATCCTTTTTGCGTGTAGGAAGTGGGAGTGATTTGGTATTGAATAATCATCATCATCATCATCATCATCATGTTTATTCCTGATGAAGCAATGGCTATATCAGGTGCAGTAGGAAAAAGGAAAAACGAGACAAACAAAATGTTGCAGTAAACAATAAGAGATTGGCAATACCCTTTTACCTAGATCCAATACAAATGCATTGCAACTTAAATGACATGTAACAGGGCAGGGGTGAGAATAAACCTATGAGAGGTGTGATCTGTGTGCCTGCGAGGGTATAGTTCGTCGGTCTTGTATCCCTGTGCATGAATATGTAGGGGTTATATTATACTTCATCAGCAGCACAGAAGGCATCTTTACGCCGAGAAAGGAAGTGAAATAACGCCTTTGAAAGGTCACTGAAGGAAACATCCTTTAAAAATTCAACGACTCCTACTTCACGTATCAAGGTCCAATTTAGTTCATGTTGTGCTCGTATATCAGCTGTGCACTCGCAGTAAAGTAAAAAGTGGGTTAGGTTTTCTTCCAAATGGCAGCCTGGGCATAACAATCCTCCATATCTATCTGTTATGGTTGGCCATTGCCACTGGGAGAATAGGAGACGGAGTATTGGTGCGGCCAACCTTCCTAGCTCTGAGATGCGTTCCACTGTGTGAGCAACTGTGTCCATATTGAGGAATATGTATGCACATTTGGAAGTTTGCAGCCAGTGATACCAAGATTCGGCTTCTCTGATATGTACAGATTCACCTATATGTGGTATAAATGCCAAATTAGGTAGGCCAAAATTCCATACATATGAATAGCCATTATGATATAGTATATCACGTAGATCACTGGCCCAACATGGTATCTTGCGATGCATAAGCTTTAATTGTTCCGTGTAAGCAGCTCGAGTTAGCCTTTCATTTGATAAGTTTTGGATTTTGTGCCAGAATCTTAGTTTGCGCTTTACCACTACTGACATAATTGCTGGTGGGTTGTATATGAATAGTAAAGCAAAAGTGGGAAAAGATTGTGGAAGTCTTAGCAATTCTCTAATAAAGCGGGCTTGCAGTGATTCCAGACCTCCAAAACTCTGATGGTGTACTAACTCAATTCCATATTCAAAGACTGATTGTACAAGGGCGTCAAATAGCAAGAAGCAATTCTTCATGGGTAGAGCCCGGGCTCTTCTTGTAGATTGAGAGACCCCATGCAGTGCAACTTTAGCTTTTATGAAACGTTCTTTGAGATGTTTGCTCCATCTGCCGTTTGCAGATATAGCAAGAAGCAATTCTTCATGGGTAGAGCCCGGGCTCTTCTTGTAGATTGAGAGACCCCATGCAGTGCAACTTTAGCTTTTATGAAACGTTCTTTGAGGTGTTTGCTCCATCTGCCGTTTGCAGAAAATACAAAACCAAGGTAGTTATAACTACGAACTCGTTCCAGGCATTGTCCTCCATACACCCAGCTTTCACCCTTTCTCCAGCGAGTGTCCTTCGTACAGACTAGGATTTTGGATTTATCCTTATTGACCTCCAAGCTGTACTCCATGCAGAAGGACTGTAGAGCTGATAATATACGACTCAGACCTAGGGGAGTTAAAGATATCAGAGCTAGGTCATCAGCATACAGAAGGCAATGGATTCTCCTATCCCCTATGTTTGGTGGGTGGTTTCCCTCAATGTTCGTAGCTTCCACAACATCATTGATGTAAAGGGCAAACAGAAGTGGAGAGAGGATACAGCCCTGTTTGACTCCTATGTTAGCCTCAAAGGGTTGAGACCCTCTCCAAGAGGACAATTTAACTGAAAAATTAGTGCCCTTGTACATATCAGCCAGAAACAGAACCATTTTGCTGCTAAGTCCTTTAGCTAATAATTTATGCCAGAGTTTGGCCCATGAGATCTGATCAAATGCTTTCTGGAAGTCAATGAATGCAATATAAACTTTTGCCTTCTTCCCATGCACGTACTTAGAGATCAGTGTGTCTAGTACAAAGGCATTATCAAGTGTGCTAAAACCAGAGCGAAAACCTGCCTGGCATGGTGAAAGAAGGTTTGCTTCTTCTGCCCATGCTCTAATTCTTCTCTCAAGTATGTGGCCCATTACCTTGGAAAAGACTGGTAGTAATGAGATACCTCTGTAGGAGTTTGGGTTGGTAGGATCCCCCTTACCTTTATACAGAGGTAATATAATGCCTCTTTTCCATGCCTCTGGATATATTCCAATGTCCCAGCAGAGATTGAGGAAATTTGTCAGTGGTTCTAATAGTTCAGGTGCTAGGTGCTTAATTAGTTCGTTTGACCAGCCATCTACGCCTGATGCTTTACCTGCTTTCAATACATGTATGGAATTTTCCACCTCTTCCCTGGAAATAGGGGCATCAAGAAAGGAATTTTCTACAATTTCTTCCTGGACTGCAAAATCAAAGTTAGAGGGACCATTCCCATTTTGCAATAACCTGGCGAAATGTTGAGTCCACACCATTGCTGCAATGGTGTTTGGTGGATTTATATAGGGTCTTGGCCTCAGGTTTTTAAACAAGGTCCATGCTTGCTGTGCCCTATGCTCTATGAAGGCAATATGAATTTTGGATACTAAAGCCTCAAAATAGGTTTGTTTCTGTTCTTTGAGGAATAACCTATATTGTTTTCTTGCTGTCAAGTAGTTTTTCCTGCAGTCATCTGTAGGCTTACATTGAAATAATCTGAGTTTTTTCCTAGTTATTTGTCTTAATGTCTGGCACTGTGGGGTGAACCAAGGTGGGTGTTGAATTTTGGGTTTCTCTGGGGGCACCCTACTCAAAATTGAGCCTGTAACAAATGAGAGAGCAAAGTGGAGGGTGTCCGCCAACCGGATCACCCTTTTACAATCTGGGAGTTCATTTAGGAAATGGGGGTGGGCCAAGTTATCTAAGGCAGAACAAAATTCAAATCTATGTTTCCTTATGTCCACCACCTTGGCACTGGCTGTAGTCCATTTGTTTGGCATGAGTGGGATGGTAGTGCTAGTACTGTCACTTTGGATGTTTGAGTCACGAGTGCCATACCTCCCTAGGTTGTATATGACTGACAAGGGTAAGTGATCGGATTCGATTCTGGAAATAATAGCAAAATCAAGTACTTTGTCAAAAAAACCTCCAGAAGCTAACATGTAATCAATAGTACTGCAGCCATTGTCATTTATAAATGTGTAGCTGCCCAACCTGTCACTAAAACGTCCATTCAACAGATACAGTTCTGAGACTCTAATTGAGTGTCTAAACCCATCCTGCTGGTCTGATATGATGTTGTCATTGGCACCTCTAGCAGGGATGTTTCTCAATGGGTACCCAAATTCATTATGGTCTGTGTATGCTGGTTCCTGCCAGCCTCCAATCCTAACATTTAGATCTCCAAATATCAAAAGTTCTGTGCTAGGGAATCTA